GTTTACAGTTGGGAAAGCAGTGGGCCAGGTGCATCTTGTTCCATAAGATGAACCTGGAAAGAGTGGCACTTGTAAAAGGGCAGGTTTCATGAGATCAAACAGCAGCAAAAAACAGGCGGGAAGAAAGAAAAGAAACTAACTCACAGCTATAGCTGCTTTGTTTGTTGTTTTTGACACAGGTCGCATTACACCCAGGCTGGCCCTGAACTCACATGTAGCCCAGGCTGGTCTGGAATCTGCAACCCACTTATCTCAGTTTCCTGAGTGCTTGGACTATAGTCTTGGGCCACCATCTATAGCTGCTTAAAAACAGAATTTTTCCTTATAAAAAAAAGTGAATTCCCTGTCTGTGAAGCTAGCCAGACATGGGGTGGATAACTGCTGGGAGGGAGGAATATTCTGGGGAGGATTCAAAGACTACAGGAGGCAGTGTATGGACTATCTCTTCAGACCTAGGATTCTGTGATTCTATTTCCCATTCTCATCAATTATAGATGAGCCTACTTAGAAAAACAAAAACAAAACAAAACAAATAATGGTCCAAATGTCCTGAATGTATAAATTAAATAGAGCTCCTTGCAATAACTGACCAGTATATTTTTAAATGCTTACTTTCAAGCCATTAACTGACCAAAATTAAAGGAGGAAGAAAGAATCAAGGCATTTCAAAACAACGCTCAAGGAACCATTGCCACATAGGAAATCCAACAGTAAAGGAAGATCTGCTATCAGAAACAAGGAAGCCAAGGATTCAATTCACTCATGGTGTGTCTCAAATGCATGTATTGGGCTGGGGATTTAGCTCAGCGGCACAGCGCCTGCCTGGCAAGCGCAAGGTCATGAGTTCAATTCCTGGTACCGGAAAAAAACCAAAACCAAAAAAAAGACTATCTCTTCAAATGGATATATTCTTTTGAGATAAATTATTAAAATAGATTGGCTTCATAAAAGTCATGGTATTCAGAAGCTTTATTGCCTTTCATTAAATCACAAGGCTTCAACAGCTCCATCCCCCAGGTAGTATCTGTGGCTCAATTCAACATTTTGACACTTTCAGAGAAAGACAGGTGAAGCTTACCTTAGAATCTATGGCAAGAAAAATAAGCACTGTTGAGCTGGTAATAATCTAGGATGTCATCCATTCCCTTTTCAAAGCTCATGTATTTTAACCAGTTTTCTGTTTTATAAATATTGCCACGACTCAACACATCTATGAGGAGATACAACATTACCCACAGCTCTCATTCTGTTTGCTAACTAATTATATCAACAACCTGAACCAACTTAACACTGTACAAAAACACAGCTGACTTAGCAATCTGTAAATTATACATGTACATAAATCTGGACCAAAATGTGCTACGTTTCACTCCTGTATGGATTCTTACTGGCACCTATAATTGTTTGATACAGGTTCCTGCACATAAAACATATGTTCTTCTGCCCAGAATGGGACCATTTAGAGTAATATTTTTGTGGTTTCCTGGCACTAAGGTCGGCCAGCTGTCCTAAGACAGATCTCCTATTTACTTTGGTGAGCACTCTGACAAGAGCCTGAAAATTTAAGCAACCATCAAAAAGATATTCTGAACAACACTTTCCAAACACGACTATAAAGAGAAACAGGCTAGCTTTGCCTCTGTGGCAACAAAGTCAATAAGATTTTAAACAACCACTGATACCATCATAGGAAAAGCCATTATGCCTGCTGCCTACTTGCAACAATCAGAAAGAAAAAGAGAGATACTCACCAAATCTCTCCTTCAAGTGGCATTCAAAGTGTATTTAAAAAACAGTTGAATAGCTTTTAGAGCCAGCAAGACCAGTAAGCATCTTAAGAATGTTTGTCAAATACAATGACAGGCCAAAATAACAGGTGCAACAGTCACTGTGGAATAGGCCCCAGATTTAGTAGGGTGTGACTTACTAGGAGGATGGTGGATTTCTTGTTTTCCACTATTTCCCCAGTGTTCAATCAGTATGTTCAGTAAATCTTTGTTGAATAAAACAGTAACAATTCCTGGCTTGTCTCTGATCTACCTTTGCCTACCTTTTTCTAACTCTGCCTCTTATTAACTATAAGTGGAAGCATTTAACTTTAGGATTCTTAGCTCTTTAAACTCTAAAATGGAGACACTGCTTCTCCATTGCTGGCTCGTGAGAATTAAAGGTGACAGTCTATGGAAAGTGACTTGGGAACACAGATGTGGAATGTCCCTTGTCCACCACTGCCTTCTGCTAAACCACTGACAACATGAGAAGACTTAAGCTTCTTGAAACATGACTGGCCTCTCCTTTGCCCTGTTATTCTGTTTGAATATGGAAGTGTGGCTGTTGGCCAAAATGGATGTTGTTCTTGTTGTTATAACATTTTGCTTAGTCTCCACTGGGAAATTATGCTTCTTCAGAGAAAATAATGGCAACACAAGGAATGCTGTTGCATGATGTGTTATAAAGAATATGATTCTGGGGATGTGTCATTTCTGTCCTTAAATATTTAAGGAAAGTCATTTGCATCAATTTCTCTATACAATGATGGGGAGAGGAAGCCAGACTAGATAGTGTCTAAAGTCCATATCACCCTACTACTGTATGATATTACAAATACTAGATATTCAAATCACCCAAAATAAGACCAGTTCTATCACCCATTAGCATATGAGTCATTTTTTTTAAAGGATAGCAAAACAGTTCCGTGGATCAAGGTACAAGGACGAGAGAGAAAACAATGCTGCAAGAAGGATGTGTAAGATCCTCAGAAATCACCAGCCTCAGGCACTCTTTGTTCAGCCATTTTCACTAAGTCACATAATATTCCTAGAACTCAGTTTTCTGATCTGTAAAAGAGGAACAATAATACCAGATAGGGCTGTTGGGATAAAATACCTAATAAAATTATTATGAAGTATAGCTATTTAAAGGTAAAATGCAATTTAAATGCTGTACTCTCCAAAAATAGGTTGGTGAATTTTAGGAGGAGACAATCAATATTTTTAAATAGACTTTTTCCATCACAGTAAAATAATGCATGTAGATATTGTGATATTTCTAAGAGTTCACTTTTTTGTCCATTCATGTTCAGGGGATATTATGAAAGGGATCGCTAAAAATATAAATCCCATATTTCAAGATTAGCACTTTTTCATCTGAAATAATAATTTTAGAAGTTCACCCAACTTGCCCAAGATGTTTTGTTTTGTTGCTGATTGGTTAATTGAAATCAAGCTGTTGGACCCAGTGCTGAGATGAAAATTCCAAGGCTAAACATATTCCCAGCCACTGGCTCTATTGACAGGCTATTCACGCATATGTCGGGGAAGTGGCTCAAGGATCAACTACAGGAGAAGGTATCTGCCTTCCTGGCTCCCAGACCTCAAGGTCCTCTGTCAAACCCAACAAGCCCTAGGACTGCAGCAGGTGGGACCCTCCTCCTGCTCCTTGTACTCACAAACCCACACAGCACGAGTTAGATGTAGAGTGTCCCTCTAACCCAGAGGACTGTCCTTGATGTGAAAGTCATGTCATTGACAATGGGACCCCAAAATCTCAGCAGGCCAGTGACAATAGCAAGAACACACAGGAAGTCTTAAATAAAGAGTTACTTTAAAATCAATAATCACCTCTGGCTTTTTTATGGTGGCAGGGTTTATTGTGGCTGTTCCTTTAGGAATTATGCTCCCTGCATCCCCAGGTAATGACTGTGACCTTGCTCTAAAAGCCACCTCTGCTGACTTGAATAAGGAAGACCTTGAAGGGAAAGGTAACTGACCAGAAACCCTCTCTAACACTCTTATTCTTAAGAAACACAATTTAAAAAAAAAAGATCATTTCCAAGAAAGCAAGTAACTCATGACGATTTGCTATCCTAGGTGATATTCTTTTTCTTATAAGATAAACTTAAATCACTTTTGCATTAGAGTATTTATTAGTAGCACAAGTTATTTTTTCATGCCCTTCCCCTGAACTCCTAACTAAATCCAAATGGAAACTCATCGTTTAAAACACCATCTCCTAAAGGCTTGGAAACTGCGATATTTACACATTATTAAAACCCATTTCCTGAGTTAGCTCCTCGCCCTCTCTTGGGAGAAGAATGTCACCGTCTCTGGACCTGAGCAGGGCCCAGGCGCCAGCCAGCATCTCATGCTGGGCTCCCTCTCCTCGCAGCCCTGATGAACAGGTGCAAGCTGCCGCTGCCCAGTGACGGGGCCGCTCTGTAAGTGCTTCAGCCCTGTTGCCGCGCTGCGGGGCCAAAAGGCACTTGATATGGTTCCCTCTCGTTCCTGCTCCCAGGACTCTGGCCTCTAAGGGCTTCATGCTGCTGTTGGTCTTACCACAGGGAAACAGTGCTGACTACTGCTTCCCTGGGCGACGGATCGACCCGTGCGTGTGGGGCTTCGTGGGTGAACGGGACTTCACCGTGGCATTTGTACCTGTAACCATTTAGCACACTCTGCCCCTCACTTCCCTCCGGGTCCAGGAAAATCATTTGACCCTCCTGAGTCAACCTCGAAGCAGGTGGGTGGGCGAAGGTGTGGGATGAAGCAGACACCCCGGCCCACAGCACGTCCCAGGGTCCCGCGTCCCTGCACCTCAGACTTGCAGCTGCGGGCGTGGACGAGGACACAGCCGCATCTCTGCGCCCGAGCGGCCGGAACGGGTCGGCGGTGCCTGCGGCCGGCTTCCCCGGGGAGGGGCGCCTGTGACCGCTCCGGAGCCCCGGACTCCGCGAGGGCGGCCAGGAGCGGGCACTTTGCCGGGACTTCGCGCCGCTCCCTCGGAGGAGACGCTGCAGGGCGCCCCGGGGCTCCCTGCTCCAGGGCAGGGGCGCCCCAGAAACCCGCGCCCTGCCCACCTCCCTCAGGAAGAGGCGGCCTCGGACGCCCGCGCGTCCCGGGGCTGCTGCATCTGCGGACACCGAGCGGCCGGAGGCGCCTGCAATAAAAGCATGGATGAAAACATTAAAATAATGCCTACCCGAACCCAAGCGCTCTCCTTACCATTGGACCGCCGGACAATGTTCTCCAGAAACGTGTTCTGCGGGGCCACCAGTCCCCTCCGGCCGCCGGCCATGGTCATCCTCGCGGCGGCTCTCACCGCCGCAGGCAGCTGGGCGCGGGGCCCGCGCGCGATCCCGCCTCGCAGCACGCCATGCACCCCGCCGCGCCGGCCGTTGCCGTGCGCCTTGCGCCCTCCTCCAGCCGCCCGCAGCCTGCGGGTGGGCGGGGAGACGCGAGTGCAGGCTTGAGGCTCCCCCTACCGGGCGCCCCCACCGCGGGCCGGGGAGACAAAGCGGGACTCCCGGCTCCGCTGGAGCGAGGCTGGCGCGGCAGCGGCACCCTCGGGCACAGCCCGACCTGTGTCTAGTACGCGCCGTGCTTGCGGGAGCGGCGCTCCGTGAATGCACCCCCGCAAGGGCCCTGGGATTGGACACTCTTCCTACGCGCCGCTTGAACTCGCCCAGACCTCTGGAACACCGGCCTGCACCGCCCCAGGGCTTGCAAGCTGATCAGTGCCAGGTACTGGTGCTTTACCCGTGATCGATGAAGTTGTTGGAGGGCAGACTTGCAGAGTGACTGGCAGGCTCTGCTCCAGAGGAGGGACCCTGGGTAAAACAACCTTCGGCACAATGTGTCCACTCTACCCAGCAAGTACTTGAATACCATCTCATGCCTAGCGTGTAGCGTTAGGAACAGGAATGAACTGGCTGACAAACGTCAAAGCCAAGGACTGGCCTCCGAGGTGGGTGTTTAGGGCAGCTTCCCGAAGCGCATCCGGGAGCAGTCATACAGGCAAGGCCCAGCCTTGGCGTGGAGAACGAGGGCGGCTCTGAGGAACCAGCGCTGCCCTCCGCGCCTGGTCCTAGAAGAGATCCTAGCCGCCTACAGCTTTCAGACAGGAGCCACGACCTTCCTCCTTTGTTCTGGAATCTTCACATCTGTCCTTTTGCTACCATGTGAGTGCGTGTGGCGAGAGACGAAGCCCCTGCCCCGCAGAAAGGATGACACGGATCACCTGTCAACACAAAAGTGCAACTGACCCTGGAGCCTCGCTTGTCTGAGTCTACCGTCCTGACACCTCCTAGTGTGCTGCAAAGACACCCTGTCTCAGTTTGTTGGTCTCAGAAACAGAAAGGAGCACCTTCCCAGCAGGGTCTCAGTCGCTGTGAACATCGAAGGAGGTCCTGTAGGGGACAGCACTCTGCATTTGAAGTGCTATACCAAGGTCAGACAGTCATCGTGGGTGTGACTAACAGACTGGGCCACTAAAAATACAGTACCACCCTCTGACCACTTGCCTGGACATCCAGTAAGCAGATGACTTCCTGCAGTGAACAGTTCAACAAGGCTGGCATAGGCTTTGAAATGGAAGCGCTGCTCCATCTTTTCCAGAAGATAAAGCTACCAGATGGATTCCTTAAACCCTAGCTCCCTCTAGTGGTCCTTCCTTCTATTACAAATGAATAAGGAATGCTAGTTGGAGAGAACTGGACTCTGGAGTGTGCTGAGCTGAGCTAGTGTGGTGCCTGCCCACTTCATGATTGAGTTCATTTGAATAAAACTCTTAGAGTTGTGTTTTCTGCTGGAGAAACACGCCTGAGGAGGATTTTCATGACAATATTAAAAATTCATCAAGAACCTCATAATCCTGCTTATGAAAGGAAGATTTAAAAAGAATGGGGATAAACCATCACAGAGTTAATAAAATTCTCAGATTTTAATGAGCCCACATGTTACAGGGCTTAGATAAAAAAGAAACCGATGAGATTCTCTTGAGGTGTGTGGCGTGAAAGTCTGGTAGTTGCGATAAGCAGAAGGGACGAGGAAATGCCTTCTGTTTGCAGTGCACTGTGACCAGCAAACTTCGTATGCCTGTGTGTACAGGCACCTTTTGAATACTGTGATTTTTAGAGGCACTCTTGAAGAAATTAAAAGTCCTAAAGTGACACTGAAAGTCAGCTTTTGTCTACTCCTAGTAGGACAGTGTTTCAGGGTTTGTGAAAGCACATGTTGCTGAGCCTCCATTCGTTACCTGGCCCTCAGCACATCTGACTGTAGGAGTAGAGTCAGTTCCAGGAAAGACTCCAGCCTTCCTGGTGTTGCTTATGTAATTCTCTTCTCTGTCCCCTCTACATTCCGTGTCACACCCACTCCTCTTGAACTTCCCTCTGACTCTCAGAGCAAACCCTAATCTTACAAATTCATCAACATTTGGTAACACACTTGTACAGGATGCACAATATACCAGTGTGCCCTGGTAACCCATGCAGAGCCCCTGTATTTTACAGTAACAGACAAAATCCTCTTCATTTAAAGGCACAATCGTAAAAACTCACCAGAGTGTCAACTGAACTGCTTCCGAACTCCCCGGCCTAGAGCTTTTACCAAGAAAGCTCGTCTGAGAGGAAAGCTCCAGAACTTTTACTCCAGTGTCTCTGGGCTTGTCTTCTTCCTCTGTATTATGTTTACCCCTCCATGTAACACACATTTGTGTCCATATCACACAATAGAGCAAGCTCCTTGAAACACAGACAAACTGAGCAATCCTTGTGCACGTGAAAATGCAAACATGCTGTATGAGTGAGATCACAAAAGAAACAGAATGGGTACAGAATGCTGCATAGAGAAGACAGAGTTGGAGGGCTGCAGATGGGCTGGGGGGAAAATCCAGACGACACCTTTCTTTGCACAGCAGCAGCAACGAAAATAATCACAAGAAGAGGAAGCTGATGCCATGCCACAGAGGGGACAAGTGGCATTGTGCCAAGACAGGAACTGCATTTTTTTCCTTTCATTAAGACTATGAGGTATGGGGAAAGGTTTCAGAAAACTGAGAACTTCTCACACATAGGAGATTTTCCTGTGAGTCCTAGAAGGCTGAGGACTCAGGAAGGGCAGCCCAGGGATTGATGGTCACTGGCCACAAAAGCAGAGGAGAAACGAGATATAATGGTGATTTTACTACTTAGCCTCCCCCATACACTTTTCTTTCCTCTTTCTCATATCCTATGGATTAATTTCTCAAATTTTGCTTTTTTTAAATTCCCCATTCCTTCTACCTTTACTAGGATAACTACTACGTTTTATAAATTTCTACATAGCTAGTTAACTTTATACTATTGGTGTTCTGTTATTAGTAAAGTCATTCCATTTAGTAGATGTTTACTGTAGGTCAATATTAGTTTCTCTTAGTGTTCATACTATAATTATAGATTTTTCTCCTATGGTTAAGGGTACTCTGTATTTGACACTATAGTTAATGCTGATTTTATTACCATAGCCAAAGTGACATAGCTGTTGCTATTGTTTTTTGTCGGGGGAGGATGCCAATATCTGGATTGTCTTGGGGTTATTAACAGTACTGTAATCAATTACAGGAGAACTAGGTAAAATATACCGCAACCTCCCACCCTAAATAGATGACAGTGGTTAGATACTGGGACATAGGCAAAGGCCAATAGTTAGCACACCCAGAGGAAACCAATGAAAAGCAGACATAAACTGAAGAGGCCCCATACTGGAAACAAAGCTTTCTACTACAATCAAGCTTCAACATAAAAACAAACAAACAAAGTAGGAATATGAGAAGACAAGCCAACAAAATGTCTCCAAAAATTCCCATCTCCCCCAAAGCTAATCCCTGGGGCATGGAAGGGAAGGAAACCAAAAGCCACATATCTGAGTTATTAAAAATTATATCAAGGGAGATAATCAAACAGATGAATAAGGGATTTTGCAAGCTCACAGATGATGTAAGGGATATTTGGGCAATAAAATGATCATCAAGTCTACAGAAAACACTAATAAATGCTAGCAGAGCTAAAAGAAAAAAAAAATGACCAGTATAGAAAAGCATTAGAGTCCATAAAAAGTCTCTAAATAGAAATCCAAAAGAGTAAAGATTCTGTCAAAAGTATAAACAGCAGAAATGACCAAAGTGAGGATCAGTATCCTAATAAGATATGGCTATTGTCAGTGACCAGTTAATGAGAGAAGCCTTAAAAAAGAGAATATGACAAATGGATCAAATAACTCCTAGATGATGAAAAGACTAATCTAAAATTAATTGGAATTAGTGAAAAAATCAGAAGACAGCACAAATGGCGTAAAAACTTTTTGACTGAAATAATAGCAGGAAACTGTCCAAATAAAGGAAAAGAATTTAACATACAGATAAGTGAGGCATATAGAACTCTAGATAGCCATGATCAGAAAAGAGCACCTCCCATAACACATCATAGTCAAAATCTCAGAAGTCCTTCACAAGAACAGAATCTTAAAAGTGGGTAGCCAAAAGTAATGCATCACTTATAAAGGTAAATCCATTACAACTACAGAAGACTTCTCAACACAAATCCTAAAGGCCAGGTGAGCTTGGACTGAAGTGTTTCAAGCCCTAAAAGAAAACAATTTCTAACCCAGGCTAATATAAACTGCAAAACTCCTTCCAAATTGGTGGAGAAGTAAGATATTTTCATGATAAAAAGCATTTAATCAAATTCATGACCACAAAACCAGCACTCAGAAAATTCTCAAGGATATCCTAAGAGACAATAAAGCTAGGAATGACAAAAGGTTTAACCAAATGAATGCATCAGTTAAGAAAGATAGGGAATTAGCAATAGGAAAATAAAGTGACAGGAATGAGTCAGCACCTATTAGTAATGACACTCAGAGTGAATGGTTTTAGTTCACAAATCAAAAGACACAGACTGGCAGAATGGATCCAGAAATAAAATTCAGTGGTATGCTATATACAGAAGCACATTTAATCCAAAAAAGAAACCCATAGACAAAAAAGCAAAGGTTGGGAAACATTATTCCATGTAACAGGAACCCCTCACCCAAAAAACAGTTGTAGCTATCCTATACTTAGACAAAGTGAATTTAAAGCCAAACATGATCAAAAGAGGCAAAGAAGGACATTACATATTGGTTAAGGGAACAATCCAACAAGAAAGCATAACAAGTATTAACATAAATGCACCAAACAGCAACACATCTAACTTCATAAAAAAGTACTACTGGAACTAAAATACTAGATAAACATACCCAAAATTATACTGGATGTTTTAGTTTCTTTTCTCATTACTGAGACAAAATACTCCACACATAAATTTAAAGGAGGAAAGATTTATTTTGGTTCACAGTTTTAGTCCATAATCAGCTGGCTCTAAGGCAGGGTTGCATGGTAGAAAGGCATGACAGGAGAGGGGAAAAAAACAGTTCATGCCATGTAAGGTAAAAGGCAGGAGGAAACAAAACCAGAGAGCCAAAAGCAACAGCAGCAGCTCTTTCTGTTCCTTATATTATATCCAAGCTACACACCCTTAAGGTAGGTAGCCCTCACACCCAGAGTGGGCCTTCCCATTATCCACACCCAGAACTATGCCAAACCAATCAGTGAACTAATTTAGTAATCACACAACCTTGACCCCAGCATGAATCACTTAATCCCACCATCACACAACTACTTCTAGCATCACACACTTTAGATCCAGCCATCTCTAAAAAGCACCATCACTGAATACATGAGGCTTTGAGAGGATATCCAGACACAAGCCATAAGAGTAGGGGACCTCAGTACTCCACTATCATAGGTGGATAAACTAGATTTAAAAATCAACAAAGAAATATAAGAGCTGAATAAAACCTTCATACAAATGGATATAACACATTCACAATGGGGCCATAATTCATATGTTTTGCTGCAGGGTGGCTCTGATTTGAATTTGATCATCTAACTGGCTTGAGCCACTGGTGGTACATGCTCAATAAGTGAGTGCTACTGTTTTTGCAAAAAAGCCAAACACTTTATGACATTTTGTGCCATCTATACAAATGAGTCTACTTTATGTATAAGTGTTTTAAAGAAATTCATGAATATGAATAAATTTCTTTTAATTTATTTTAATTTTATTAATATATATTATTAGAACATGTTAGTTTCTTTTAATTTAATGAAATAAATAAATTTGTTGATTATTGTAATAATTTTATTGATTTGGGTAGCATTTATATTTGGGCAGTAATTATTAAAGTAAAAAAACTAACTAGATTTAGTCCATTTATACATATTTTTATTAATTTTATTGGTAAAAAGACCAATAAAAGTGACTAGATCCATTTGTACTACCAGTGGTACACAAGCTGCCCAATGGACATGTATACATCTAACACCATTGGTTCAAGCCAGCAGGAATGTGTATAGAGTATTCCACCCAACAACCAAATACACATTCTTCTCAGAAGTATATGGTACTTTCTCCAAAATAGCCCACATAGTAACCAAAAAGCAAACTTATGGAAAAGAATTGCTATTATACCATACACACTATCAGATCATAGCACAAGGGACCTAGAAATCATCAACAAAAAAAACCCAGAAATTATGCAAATACATGCAAACCAAGCAATATAATATTAAATAAACAATAGGTTACAGAAGTCAAGAAAGAAATAAGACAGTTTCAAAATGATAATGCCAAAACAACATACCAGAACTTATAAGACACAATAAAAGCAGTCCTAGGAGGGAAATTTATGGCTGTGAATGCCTACATCACAAAAACAGAGTGAGTCCTTTTTTCTCTGGGCTCCTGAATGTCCTAGAAAGACAAGAACAATCAAACCCAAAGCTAGTAGAAAGAAGGAAATTATAAAGATCAGAGCATAAATCAATGAAATTGAGACCAAAAAAATGCAATGAATCAAAGAGTTAGTTTTTTGAAAACATAAACAAAACGGACAAACCCTTAGCCAATCTAACTTTTGAAAAAAAGGAAAGATCCAAATCTATGCAATTAGAAATTAAAAAGGTGAAAGCACAATGGACACTCCCCAAATCACAAAGACTTTGCAAACCTGTATGCCAATAAATTGGAGAATTCAGAGGAAATTGATAGATTCCTAGATAAATATGAATTACTAAAACTAAACCAAGAAGATTTAAAAACCATGAATAATCCAGTAACAGGCAGTGAAACTGAAGTAGTAATTAAAAAAAAAAAAAGAAAATTACCAACTAAGAAAAGCCCAGGTCCAGATGGATTCACTGCTGAAGTCTACAAAAACTTCAGGGAAGATATAACACCAATATACCTCAAACTCTTTAATTAAATTGAAGGGGAAGGAGTACTCCCAGTCATTCCTGGAAGATAGTATTACCCTGATTCCATAACCAGATAAGGATACAACCAGAAAAGAGAACTACATAGAGATCAATCTCTTTAATGAATATAGATGTAAAAATATGAATTACTAAATACTAAATTAATACTAATTACTAAATAATACTAATACTAATTACTAAATAAATGTAATACATTACATAAACAGAAGCAAGGACAAAAAAATCACACGATCATCTCAGTAGATGTAGAAAAAAACCTTTGATAAAAATCCATCATTCTTTCAAGATAAAAACAATGAAGAAAAAAGGGATAGAAGGACCTCTCAATCTGATAAAAGCATTTATGAAAAACTTACTGCCAACATCATATTACATGGGGAAACAC